AATTCAGTAAATCTGCCTCTCTGTGCAAGTGCAACGGAAACAAGAAGTTTTGAGTGTGGTGCTATATTATTTCCTTTTACAGTTTAATTTTTAAGTCTGAGTGTTTAGCCAGCTGTGCATTCCTTCTAGACAATTGAAGCTGTGTGCAGTCAGAAGTTCTCTTGAGATTTGCAGTCTCAAACTGGCCTAATCATCTGAGTCAAAGCACTGGTATTTGGGCATTTTTTGTTTATTCTTTTTTCACTCCCTCAGCAAAGCTTCCTCCACCTTTTTTTGTTTGTTTGTTTGTTTGTGAAATAGTGATGATATCAATACAACATATCTCCTTCCACAGCCTTGACATCTCATTTCAATTGTTCTTTGAGAAGTTGATACAGTGAAATCCCTAGAATTATGAATGGATCTGATGCTGGCCATTCATGTTTTAAGCCAATTGATTCTGAATAAAGCTGTCTTGAACCTGTATTAGGCAACAAGGAATTCTTGATGCTGCTATTGATCTGCTATGTAATGTGAGACTCATGGTATCAGTCACCACTGCTTTGCTTTTCTCATCCACAAGAACCAAACTTTAAAAAGTGTGCTGAGGTCACAAATTAAAGAGGTTTTTTGAGCATTAAGACCCAGATTCTGCTGCCTTCATTAGATAATATCTTGCAGTGCAAAACAGATTCATTACTCCTCCAGTAATACATCGTGCAACGCGATGGACTCAAACATAACCTGATTACTGGAACATCAACGTTGGGCAGTGTGAATCTGCTGCCTCTTGCACATAAACTTTATGTCTGAGCAGATAAAACACAAAATTGATCTGCTCCTTAAGCCAATCATAATTCAACAAAACATTAATGACAAATGGCAGAATGCCCCAGCCATCCTTCCAGACAATACTCCAGATGGAAGTCACTGGATAAAGAACAAGAATGTTTGGCAGAATGAGAAAAGAGAATAAATTTACTACACATCACTCTTTTTGCCTGACTGCAATAAAGTAATCGTAATAGAATGTTGTCACAGGATAATGGTCTCCTGCTGCTTTAGAAATGCTTTGCAAAACAGATGTTTACTTTCTCTGTGGGAGACATTGATCCCGGGACAACAATCTTTTCTATTAAAGGAAAATTAAGTACTTATAGGTTCAGCAGTACTATAAAAAGATAATTATAAAAAGCCATGCCATGTAATAGGTGAAATAATATCAAATATATATGTGATGTATGAGATATATGCAACTAATTCCTAAGAGGGATTAATTCAAATAGTTTCTTCTGGCAGCTCTGCGACTAACACTTTCTCAACATGTGCAGACAGGGCAGTGCAGTGCACTATGATGAAGTTGTTTTTGTTATTTTAATCTTCCAAGGCTCTATGAACTGCAGAACAACAGCATTTGTAAATAAAAGTAATAACATAATAATATAACAATGGCAAGTAAAGACCATGCATTTTCTGTCTGAACTCAGTATTGTGAGTTTTCCTTACTAGTACCAAGACAAAGTTTTGCAAACAGATAAAAATGTATAAAATCATAGAATCATAGAATAGTTAGGGTTGGAAAGGATCTTAAGATCATCTAGTTCCAACCCCCCTGCCATGGGCAGGGACATCTCACAGTAAACCATGCCACCAAAGGATCTGTCCAACCCAGCCTTGAACACCGCCAGGGATGGAGGATTCACAGCTTCCCTGGGCAACCCATTCCAGTGCCTCACCACCCTTACAGTAAAGAACTTCCATGTTATATCCAATCTAAACTTCCCCTGCATGTTTCAAAATAATTTTCTCAGAGATCGTAAAAAAATTCAAAGTATGCATATACATGCACACATTGCATTCTGTTGAAACGATTGAAAGGTTACATAGGCACTATTTTGGTGAACCTTATACATTTTGCAGACACTTCTATTCCTCCAGTAATGTGCCAACTAAAAAATTGGGCTGATGAGACATATATGAAAGAAGGACATTTGTTCTCTTATGTGCTGTAGCTGCCTATGTCTATGTACTGTCAAAGGCATTTGACTGTCAGATGAAGCAGCCAACCCTCTATGGTATTTAGCTTTAGCCAAGGCTGTATCTAGATCAGGGGGAACAAAATTAGAATAATTAACCAGAATCTGAATGACTTGTTGGCTCACAAGGCTGGCCTCCAGACCTGCATCATCTTGGATCTTCTGTTGTCCATTCCTATTTAGCTCAAGACATCTTGTGAAGGTGTTTGGTACTTTTACAGCTAATGCCTTTATCCAACTCTGTGTATTCTATATCATGAATCCCAAACAGAGTTGCAGTATGCAGACTACTGACATCTTTGTAACCAGATCAGGCAGGTATCAGGTTCGCTTCCACAAGTTTTAAAGATCGTAGCTGAGCAGAATAGCCAGTGAATAGTGACACTGTGCCTGGGTTTACTCAAAGTGCTTCTTCAGCTGAGGCAATAGAAGACTTGAACCGCTAATTGTGCTTTTTACTCTGCATGGTGAACTTCAGCATCTACACGCTGAAGAAAAATATCTTTTACATTCCTGAAAAGAGTAAGTTTGCTATATGAGTGCATTCAGTTATAATGATCCTGACCCGAGAGACAGTCACTGAGGCAAAGAACTTCCCTTCCTATTTCAGGTGTATACATTACAGACATAAAATGAATATGGCCATGGGGGCATAAATTTTTAATGCTGCAAGGGTAACTCAAGAGTTCTGTCAAACGATAATGATAACTTGCATTGGAAAATGCTACTTTAAGATAAAGAGAAAACTGAAGACTTAAAAAGTGTCAGTTTTGTCATCTCGAAACCATTTTTCCCTAGTGCTGAATAAAATGCAAATATGCCCACAGGCGAGTTGCTTACCCTACAGCTGAAGTACTGCACATGGAACCAGTTGACACTTTGGTAGTTTAGCAGTTTAGACTTATAAATATGTATTTGCATTTTCAATGCTAAGCTATGTAGCTCTTACCCAGTTGTCACTGCATCAGTGAGGAAACCAGTTGAAGTTTGCTTCACTGAGGACTGTATGATATGATCAATGAGAAGGAAGGGAGTTTAATGGAAACTGAAGCATGTAAAGAGAGATAACATCTTAACACAGAGTACCTGTGCTAGGGAAAGTGTTCAACACCAAAGGACACCTTCTAGACCCCTTAATTCCTGAATCTCCTCAATAGCAGGAGCTTGGCTGAAGAGCAGGCAGGGGCTTATGGCACAGGTCTCAAAGAAACTGTTAAAATGATTTCTTCAGAGGGAAGAAGGAAAAGGCAGAGTAACTGTCTCATGTCTCTGCACTCAGGTACTGACGAATACTGTTTATTCCCCAAAAGAGGAAAGACAGAGGAAGGCATTGGATCTGGAAGCTCATGTGTGAATTAACTTTCAGGTGAAGTCATGTCTGGTTCCTGTCCTGGGGCTGCTGAGGGCATCACCAGGACTGCAGAAAGAAAATCTCTGTATCCAGTCATAATATTTAATAAAGCAAAGAAAGTAGTATGGACCACTCTGGCTTTGTTATTCATCTTTTCAAGCCAAAGGCTTCAAGCCCTAGAAAGTATGGCAAGATGAAAGGAGATTCACTGCTTATCTTATTCCATATATATTTATATAAGAAAAAAAAGAAAAAAAAAAAAAGAAAATAAATAGAAACTGGGTGAGTCAAGAGAAACAAGGATGGCAACATTGAAAGCAATACCCTGGCAAAGGGATGTTGTGCCCTTGTTAAAACCAGCATGCTTAGCCACAGACCTGTGCCCCTTCTTGAAAGGAGACACGTGGTTTGGGCTGCCTAGGGCTGCACTCAAAAGCTTCTTCCTACCTGTGCAAATCTTCCCAGTCTCTCCAGTGGGTTCTTGTTCAGACATTTAACAGTATAAGGTTGTAAAACATGTCATAATACAGGGGATAGGTAAGCCATCTTAAAATCGTTGCCCTTTAAAATAAGTTTTGTTTGAACAAAGGTAATGGAAAGCTGTCTTCCCTGAAGGTAGGACAAACCACTACAGCTATAATCCCATTTCCTGGTAGCCTTTCTCCTGAGAAAGGACTATGTGGGGTTTCCATTATTGCCACGAAACTCCCCAGGTGTCTTTAAACCACCTCCATTGGTAGGGAAAGTTGGGAAGCAGACACCTTGCATTGTTTTCGAGGGTGCCATCCTGTACCCAAGCTCTTCTGCTGTGTGTCCTCTACCCCCCTCCCTTCTCTTTCTGCAGGGCTGTAGCACAAAGCTGCTACAGCGGAAGGAAATCAGTTTCCCCTTTTCCTTTTTGGACATGACCCGCATGTCCATGTTTCTTTCTTGGACATGACTTCGTGGGAGCAGCGCTCTCACAAAGACAAGAACTTTTGCCTCTGAAGACCGATGGCAGCATCATGACTTCCCAGCTTTTAAAACCAGTTTTTTTCCTAAACTTAAGCTTCGAAACGCCAGCCGGGAAAGTTCGCTGGCGGCAACAACTGCCCGGGAAACGAGCACCGGCTTCTCCCGGCGTCAGGGGCAGGGAGCTGTCCAGCACCCCGCGGGACGGGCGGCAGCAGCGCGCAGCCGGAACCGGGGCTGCCGTACCTCGAGGACTCCCGGGTGCCCCAGCACTGCGCGGGCAGCGCCGCTCCCCGCGGAGCCGGAGGGGATATCTGTCTTCTTCCCCGCTCCCCTTCCCTTGGCTCCAAAGCTCAGAGAGGGGAGCGCAGCGCCCTGCCCTCCCTCCCCGCAGCCGGCTTCGGCCGTCTGCCCTCCCGGGCGGTGCTGCCGGGGGCCGCTTCCCCCCCCCCCCCCCCCGGCGCCGGGGAGCGGGGCCCGGAGGCGGCTGCGGGCCGCGGGGAGCGGGACTGAGCGTGGCAGGCGGCGAGCGGGGCGGGGGCAGGCGGAGGGAGGAGGAGGAGGGGGAAAGGGCTCCGAACAACACGTGATTCCCGCGGAGCAGCGAGGGAGCCGGGGGAGGGGAAGCGAGGGCGGGCGGCCGAGGCAGAGGAGGGCAGCAGCCGCCGCCGCCGCTTTAAATCCTCCCGGCGCGGAGCCGCGCAGCACCCGCTGCTCCCACGGCCCGGCGCGGCGAAGCGCGGAGCCGGGCAGCGGCGCGGGCTGTGCCTCCCGCCCAGGGGCACCCGCGGCCATGCGAGGCGGCCGTCCCTGCGGCCGCAGGGCTCGGAGCTGCCCCCCGCGGCTGCCCGCCGCCCCGCGCTGAGCAGAGCCGCCGCCGCCGCCGCCGCCGCCCCGCGGCACCATGTCCCGGCGCAAGATCTCCTCGGAGTCCTTCAGCTCGCTGGGCTCGGACTGCCCGGAGACCAGCCCTGAGGAGGAGGGCGAGTGTCCCCTGTCCCGCCTCTGCTGGAACGGCAGCCGCAGCCCCCCCGGCCACCCCGACACCCCCTTCGCCTCCGCCGCCACCGCCGCCGCCGCCGCCGCGGCCAGCGCCGGGGCTCGCCGCGCTCTTCGCCGGCGGCGGGTCAACCTGGACTCGCTGGGCGAGAGCATCCGCCGGCTAACGGCCCCCGCGGTGAGTGCCTCGCGCCCGGCTCCGTCCCGGTCCCCCCTGCTGCCGCGGCAGCTCCGGGGGTCCGGCGTGCGTCGGGGCAGAGGCGGCGGTGCCCGCGCCCTCCTGCCGGCCGGCCCCGCAAACCTGCGGGAGTGACGATCTCGGCAGCCCGGTGCTGGAAATCGGGTCGGGAGGCACAAATACGCGCGCTGCCGGTTTAGCTGGGTTTATGGTTTCCGCCGAGTTTCTAAATTACAGCAGTAAAATCATGAAGTGCTTATCTCTATCTGGCGCTAGCAACATTTTCGTATAAAAAGTTACATCTCTGTGATACATGGCATGCACGTTCTTCCTGCAGCGTAGGGGAGATGTCAACTTCTTGCATTCGGAGGGTTTTTCTGTATTCAATAGAGGAGAAAAAAAAGTTTCGACTTTTTGTTCAGAAATATTTCAGCAACAGATTTCTCTGTGCCTCCCAGATGTGCTGGCATTCTGAGAGATCAGTGTATCCACAATGTAGTTTGAAATCTGTGAACTAACGATTCTCTGGGTAGCTACACCTGTATTTGAGAATCAGTGAAGCATTGCGTATTCTGAAAGAAGTGAATTTGGGTAGGACCCGTAATGTACGCTTGTATCACTCTATGACTGAAATGAGTGGCTCAGGAGTTCTGGTAGATTAATGTAAAACAGGAGGTCCTTCTCCAGCCTTTCTGTTATGATTGTGCTACGCCTCTGTAAATGCCTCTATGACCATCACTACATTTTCCTCATAAAGTTTCAGCTGCACCTGAATGTTTCTTTGGTCTCTGAGATATTTTAATGTGTTTAGGTATAAAACATTAACGGCAACAAGTAGTCTTGATCTGTAAACCAGTTGCTATCGTGGCATTGGATCATCTTTTTGCCTGGTGTTGTCCAGCTTTGGAAATTAAGAGTCTCCTCACTATCAGCTGTCACTTTGCTTTGGTTTTAAGGATCTCTTTTTTGGGGTGTTTCTTAACCTGTTTGGATAGGAGTAGACAAGCTGCTTAATGGGAGAAGTTAGCAGAGCATTACATAGCTAATGGTCGTCCAGCTTTAGTGAGGACTTTTCTTTCCCATTGTTTTTTTCCCTCGGCACTGGGAATCTGGTCTTGTAATGCTAGTATTAATAGATGATATCTCAGGTGACCCGTCTTGTTTTAGTACAAAAGAAAAAAAAAAAAGAAGCTATTTAATTTTATAATAATGCAACAGTATAATTAGAGCATGTGTTACCCAAAATATTAGCATTATTCTGAAGTAGCTCAGTGCAGTATTTTTAGATAACCTCAGTATTTGTATTTTCTCAGCTTTGACTGTTACCACCTGTATTAAGTTGCTATAAAAGACAATTACAGTTTTCCAGCTTTGATGGATCGTTGAATGTGTTTTCAAAATAAGCATGCTCTTTGAATTAAAAGACAAGGAAAACTTTGGTAGCTCTTACAGTCCTCTTTCTTCCCTGCTCTCAGAGAAATTCCATTTAAGAATGCAAAAATTTCATCCAGCCTGGTTTTGATATCCCAAACAACAGCTTCCATGGTTTCCTTGGAAGCTAATTATAGCAATCCTTATTGCTGAACAACTGTGTTCTTTTTAAATTTTAATGTGATACATATTGCTTAAAATTTCCCTTTTTATCTTGGCATCGTAACTGGTGCTTCACTCTCATCTTACACATTTTGGCATAAATTAATGTGATTAAGTCTAAAAGTCATGTTGTCACAGTCCTGCTACACAAAGAGAATCAGTCTGCTGTCTTTTCATTTTTCACTCTGATAAATCACTGCTCAGGTGCATTATTATTTTGGTGCATCCTTTTTTTACTAAGAATCTGTTCTGTGATACGGAATAGATGCCTTCTTGCAACAAGTCAAGTTACCATATGTCTAGTGCTTTGATATTTTTTGCATATCTGCTAATACAAATCAGAAATAACTTTAATCGGAAATAAAAAAAAATAATACTTTGCCTATAAAATTAGTGTCAAATGGGACTCATTTCCATTATTTGTAAAATTGAAAGGCAAGCCTGAAGGTTGCATTGACATGTTCCTTCTGAACAAAAAAACTCTAATTATATCTTCATTCTATGATGCTATAGATATAGGTCTCCAGTAACTATATAGACATGCATATATGTACACAGGAGTGTGTGTGAAGGTATATACTACCTATATTGCCTGCAATGGCTGCAGGCAGCAATGCAGCAGCAATTTGTCCCCACGCCAGTGCTGAACACTTTCAAAGTTGAAGGATGCTACAGGTTCTTTAGCCTTAATTTTGTGCTTTCCTTCAGCAACAGCTAGGATTGAAATACTGGCGAAAATACTTTTTGTGTGTTTTCACCAAGGAAAATTTCTGTGTGTGTGTTTAACACTCCTGTGGCATGCAGAGAGATATCTGGGCTGGTGGTGTTTCAGTGTGGCAGTAGCAGGGGCTACCAGGAGCTGCTCTAGGGATGTGGGGAGCTGTGAACTGAGCAGAAGGAGTGCCCAAAGTGTGAAGGAACTGAGCAAGAGAGACATCCATGGGGCAGAATGGCGAGAAAGCTGTGCAAGCAGGCTAGGCCTGATGAGTGGTAGTGCACAAATATGTATGAAAATATTAATGTCTTCAGCACGATGAATTCATGAGTTAGTACAACTGTACTAATCATCAATGAAAAGTAATTCTGTAGAGTAATATGCAGTAATGCAGTATTTGAGGTGTCTTATACTAAAACAGTGAAAAGAAGTTACTGCATTTTGTGAGTATTTTGCACAAATATTACTTTTTCTGGAACTGTGGACAAAACCTGAAAACTGAACCTTGCTGTGTTGCAGCATTGAATCCAACCCCTTCTGCTTACTTGCAGGGAACAGCTTCTAGCACTTTCCAGCGCACATGATTTTCCAACTTTTCCCTTAAATACCTCTTTAGAGATTTTTCCTGCAGTTGTTATATTAGAGGATGTCAGGCCCTGATCCTCAATCAGCACAGGGTCATTTTATGTTCCTGTGGGTTTGTAAATGTTCCCTGATGTGACTGAATGATTGAAGGTTGGACACTGTTCATCTGGAGCTTGCTTAGCCCAACCCTTCTCTTTCTTAACAGCCAGAACCAGAAGGCTAGTTCCTATAGGGCTCAACTCCGACCAAAACAGCCCCATATTTTGTGGAAAAGCATGTGATGATGAGGAGGGTGAGCAGACCTCCACATGTACCCTACTGCTGGCATTTGTGTTTGCTGGGGAGGGTCAGGGAAGCAGGGTGTGCTGGGCCGGGAGGCAGAGCAGTGGTGATGCAAGAAGAGAGGCAACTCTTAGTCACAGCCACACTCAACAAACTAACCATGTGTATGCTTAACATCACATTGAGCTGCTGCCCCGTTGGCCCCTGAAGTACCATTTTGCTGAATAAGCAGGAGCACCGGTAGCAGGAGGGTTGAGGGTCTCCCAGGAGCAGGGCATAGCCAGGTGCTGCGGTCCAAAGGGTCAGGGACACTGTGCCAAGCCATAGTGTGCTCGGCATCTGAGTGTGAAGATAATGTTTTGTGGCACCAAACTTAGTTACTCAGTGCCATAACGCCGGCATTGCACACACTCAGCTCTTGTGACTCCTTTAGCTCACAAGATCACAGACAATGGTGCTCCATGCTTATTGCTCGTGTCTGGCTCTGCCTTCTCACAGCCCTTCATCCCTGTGATGTTCCCACAAAGCTGAGCCTGTAAGTGCATAGGCAGCTCCTATCCACTCTAGCATGTTCCTAAATCATGTTCCTGATTGGGCACAGATGTCCCTTCTGTCCTCCTTCATCTGAAAGACCATCAAAGAGTCTTTGGTTATGTTGTCAATCAAATAAATCTGGAGCTAGATCCTGCTGCTGTCAAAATAAACAGGTGCTCTTCTCACTGGGCTGGGTTTAGTGTTTTTGGAGATAAATACTAAAATAATTATATGTACATCACAAGCAAATTTAATGATAAAGTTTTCTTTTAATTCCAGCTTTGTTGTTGTGTTCCACTTTAAAGGATGAGTTTTACACCCACAGTGATAGAAAATTTGATTAATTATAACTAAAGATGATGACAGTATATGCTATTCCTTATCAGCATATTTTTTTCTGTCTTTAAGAGCTCTACTGTATAGGAATGATATCCTGGCATCTATGGCCACAGTTTTATTCTTTAGTGTCTTGCAGCAATTTTCACATTTGCTCCAGTTCTATCTTGACTTGTATCCAATACCAGGCTGAAAATAGAATCAAAATTAGGGAAAAAAAGAAAAAAAAGTCACTGATTTGAACAGTCAAATACTCTGCTCCCATCTAAGGGGCATGGACTACCCTGAAGGAGCTGCAAGTGACTGGGCATGCATTCAGAGGAGATTGTGTCCCCCTGAGTGCTGTACTGATCATTCTGGAAAGAGAATTACAACATCACACAGCGTTAAACTGACTTACATTTCCGTTTGATTTTCTGAATGGCCTATGTAGCTCATCACTTGAACTAGAAACATTAAGTGAAAATTGCTTCTAATATACTTTTCTGTTCATTCAGAATTATTCCTGCTATTTTTTAAAGGCCCAGTTGGAGACAAATTAAAGTAAGAACATTTTTTCCCCTGTTTAATTTACAAAGCTGCTACCGGCTGCCAAATAGTTTGAATTTAAGAACTGTGTTATTGAATACAACCTTTTCCCTGACAGTGGAAGAAAAGCGAACCTGAAGACAGTCACTTAGGTTAGCGTGTAGGCTATTATTTATGTCACAGGACTGCTGTAACTTTAAATTGTTTAATTGCAAGTGAATTTTCCAGTGAGCTCTGGTGCGGTTTTGGCAGAGAAGTTGCAATATAGCAGCTCAGATTGGACTTGGCTCTATCATAAACCTCTACCACTTACTCTTGAGGGATAGCTACTCTTTTTAGTAGCGATAACAAATTGTTGCCACTAGCAAGAGAAGTAACAAATTGATTTTACATGAGATTTTGTAAACATTTTGCACAAGTATTCTGA